GTATGTATATATATATATTCATCCCCCTCGATATTCTTTCTGTTTTGTTGCCTTACAACCTGGAATTTTATTGAATTTTAATTGAAGACCCACAAAAAACATTCAGTTTGTGGAGCCACCTTTTGCAAAAGTTAAACCTCAAATCTTTTTAGGTTTACCTGGACAAACACAGCACTAGTCACTGAAATGTTTTACTCCTTCTTCATGACCAAACTGCTCCAGGTCCTTCAGGTTGGATGGGTGCTGCTTGTGCCCAACGATCTTTAAACTTAAACCAGAGATTGGCTCCGTTCATCCTTCTTTTAACTCTGACCACCTTCCCAGTACCGGCTAATGAAAAGCATCCCCACAGCATGATGATGTCACCACCATGCATCACTGTAGGGATGATGTTCTCTGAATGAAGAGAGGTGGTCGATTTGTCTCAGACATGTTGTTTTTGATCGTCTAAAAGTCAAAGTTCGGTCTCATCTGACCACAGCGCCTTTTGGGGAAGAAATTTCAAACAGCCCAGAATTATTTATTTATTTATTTATTAAATAAATGGCCTTTTCCTGGCCACTCTCACATGAAACCCAACTCTATGCAGAGATGAGCTTATAGACAACCATCACTGGACAGGTTTGCTGTGGTGCCATAATCTTGCCATAGTTTAGAATAAAATGAATTTACCGTGGAACATTCAGGATTTAGAACTGATTTTATAAACCAATTCGGATATGCACTTCTTTGCAACTTTATCTCTGACCTGTGTGGAGAGTTCCTTGGTCTTCATAGTGTACCTTGCATGGTGGTAGCCCTTACTACTTAGAGGTGCTGCACTGGTGCTGATACTGGGATTTTTTTTAAACATACTACTTGATATATGTAGATTATTTGGCACTTAAAAATCCAATTAAATTCCAGGTTTTAAGGGAACTTAATAGAGAGGAAAACCATAAAAAAGAATAATACTTATGATCCAGACTATAAGTAACTAACAAAGCAAAGAGTGAGCAGTGAGTAAACTATGCAGTATGACACATAAAGCTAGGAGCATTAGACTGAAGTGGCAAAGACGGCCTGTGTAAACTAAATCTGCCCACAGACGGCCGTGTGCGTCGGCTGGTACCTGATTGTCGATTTTAAGCTCAAGTAGTGTGGTGTTATTCTGCAGCGACTCGATGAGGGCCAAGATTCCAGTCCCAGTTATAAAGTTTGATTCAACGTTCAAACTCTTCAGAGTCGTGTTCACCCTCAACATCTCTGCCAGTGCCTGAGGAGAAACACAACATACTCTCCATCTTAGATCAAACTTTGTTTCAGATCATTTTTGTCCAACTTGTACAGTAGTCCTCGCTCTTTCGTGGTTTTTCAATGATTGTGAACTTTAATATTACTTGCGTGGTTGAGACAGTTATAGATAAAAAGTTAACAAAAAAAAACTTTGGACAGGCACCGCGATTTTGCAGTTTTTTTTTTTTTCAATAAGCCTACACTGTAATGCAAGTCAAAAGAACTACACTACCCAGAAGACAACAGTGCCTCCGAACGCCACTTTCTGCCGAAATGGAGGGAAAGTTTTGATCCGATCGGAACCAGACTAAAAAGTTCCGTCCTTATTCATAGTGACTTTGGCGCTCAGTGGATGCAAAGAGCCGTACAGAATCCTGTCGTACTGGATCCGTCTGGATTATTTGGACTCTATTGGGACCATTGTGTGGTTTTGTGCTGGCTCTCCGAAGGTCTGGCTCTCTCCAAAAGCATCGGTACTCAACGGCTGCATAGAGCCGATCAGAACTGGACCAGAACTGGACCAAGGTTGGTGAGTATGCATATAAAATTTTGCACTAGCCATTGCTACTGTACAGTACATATATGTATGTTGTTAAAATGACGTAGGTTTGAGAGTTTAGAACAATGCAAGAGTATAGGAAGGGTTTATAAAGCCTTAAATATATTCAGTATATATATATATATATATATATATATATATATATATATATATATAT